CTACTAGATCAGACTCATAGCAATTCTCCTGTTTACAGCCTCCCAAGAGCTGGGATTACAGGCACCCACCACCACCTCCAGTCTCAATTGCCATCCCTGGGGTGGGGCCAGCATGGCAGGCCTGGGGATTGAACCCCTGACCCCTGTGACTATTTGCTGGCACTTTAATCTGCTAAACTGTTTGGCCGGCCCTCTGGTGCACATTTTGGACCCATAATTTAAACTCCACAATGAGATTTAGTTCTTGTTCATAAATGTAGAAAGTATTAATCAAAGCTATATGAATATTAATGACATTCATCAAGAAATAATTTACCGCTGTAAACTTTATTAAACTACGTTAATTTCATCATCAATTTTTAGAACACTATATTTAAATCATTTTTTATCTTTTAAAAATTTTTTGAAACTATTTGGGATGAATCATTATGTACAGGTACAACAAAGATCTGGTTTATCATAAATCTAAGTCAGAATTTCATTGGGTATAGCTCGTGTCAGTGTAATTTTTTCTGTCTAATGACTCTCTTGAGTCTAATTTTCCTTTGTCAGATTTTGCAAATTTAAATTTTCCTTTCAGTATTTAGTTTACATTTGTTTTAACATTATACAGTTTAAGGCACTTTGCTATCATTTTTCACAACTCTGATTAACTTAGGTTACTTATTGGAATTTTATAGTTGGAAACAAAGAATTTTGGCTTTATAGTTATATTCATCAACAATGAATGTTTATTGTTTATCATTTTACCTCTCAAGATTTATTTCTGCTGATTATTTCTATGAATTAAATAGTTTGTGGTTGGAGTGTAGTTTGGTGATTAGGGTACCTGCTAACTATGTATGAAATTTTAGGTTCAATTCCCAGCACTGTAACGTAAAAATAAAAATTATAAATGCAATTTAAACTGGACAAAATTCTGTTGCCTTTGTTCTTTTCCTTGAAAATTGAGAATATTTTTAACATATGTCTTACTTTTCTTAGTTTTGCTGAGACAAAATACAAAACCTAGTGTTAAGGGAGGAAAGGTTTGTTTTTGGCTCATTGTTTATAGAGGTTTCAGTCCATAATTGGCTGGCTCCAAGGCAGCGTGGCATAGACAATGGGCACTGCAGAGGTAGGCGGAAGACAGCCAGACAAGAAGGCAGCTTCTTTCTGTCCTTTTACATCCCATCCAGGCTGCTCGGAGTGGGAGAGTGTCATATTATTAATCCCAGCATCACACACCCTAATCCAGCCATGAATCCCTGGGCAAGGGGGAGCATCTAAATATAAGCCTTAACTACAAAGTCGTTTGCTATCCCAGTGTTTTCTTATCTTCCCAGTAGAAAAGGAAAGCATTAGACAATCATTTGCTTAAATCAGATTATAGATTACAGTGGTGGAGAGTTTAGTTTTAATATTTAATCTTCATTTTATAGTTGAGACCCTAGAAAAGACCAGAAAGATGATATGACTTGGCAAAAGTCAGAGAAAGTCCAGACTGTCAATACCTAGATGTCAGGTGCTTTGACATCCGGGACACTTTGAAGGGAAAGCACCATGAAGCTGAGCTCTGGACCTGAGTATCCTTTCTAGAGAGGAGAACGTGGCTTTTGGTTACTATGGTAACACAGTGCATTGGAGATTTTTTGACAAGCATACCCCCTACCTGTGTTAGTAGGAAAAAGAACCGCTGAGCTGATCTTTATGGTAATTCAAAACACTTTAGATAGATCCTGTCACATGCTTTATAAGTTCTTGATTGATTGTGTGAAATTAAGTTATTGGGCAGGGAACCAGCTAATGGAAACACATTGATGAAATCATTTTTGAGGGACATTAAATGGAATTTAAAATAAAGCTGGAATGGCTTTATGGATTTTTCAGTCAAACTGTTTATGAACATTTATTGCCAGTAAATTATGTTGTGCCAAAGAAGGGAGTAGGTAAGTATGGTTTTACTAGAAACCTTTTTGAAATAATAAAGTGGAGAATAATGTATTATCCAAAAATGGGTCGAGTAGAGGATTGCAGAATTTGTCCTGGAGAACAATTGTCCACTGTGTGGGTGGGTGAGAGTGAAAAATGATGTGACAATGAGAAATCTGGTAGAACTTGGAAAGAACTGTTTCTGAAAAGGTAGCTGGGGATTTGGCAAGTGTTGCCAGAGAGCAGAGCCAATGGTACTTGTTCTGATCTCAGAAAAAGATGAGCACATGGAGAGGAAGTCAATCTGCTGGGGGAGAGAGCCTAGGCACGAAGGAACCAAGGTGAGAGCTGGAAGACTAGCACACGTTTTCCCCATCACGTCACCTGTGTGACTGTAGGGAAATTTCTTTACTCGTCTGAGGCTCTGTTACACACACTTGATAACAGAAGTAAAGAGTCCCCACTGCATAGAGTTATTCTGATGATCAGATGAAAACTCAGAATATTCAGTACACTTTCAAACTTTCAGTAAATATCTTTTATTTAATTTATTTATTTATTTTTATTTTTTGCATTTTAGGAAAGGGTCTACGGGGACTACAGGATCTCACTGAGTAGATTGGACTCATAGTGATCCTCCTGTTTTCAGCTTCACAAGCACTGGGATTACCAGCATGCACCACCCTGCCCAGTCTCAATCACCCGTCTCAGCATCCTCCCAGGGTGGGGCCAGCACGGCAGGCCCAGAGATTGAGCAAGGTCATAAATTCAAGCCCCAGTACCACAACAATAAATAAATAAATAAAATCCCTGCCTAATCAGGAGCTTTAATCCACTGAGCTATTTGGCTGTCCCTCTTGTAAATATCTTTAAAATATTTTTAAAATTATCACTGATGAACAGGGTGTGGTGGTGCAAGCCTGTAATCCCAGCACTATGGAGGCTGAGGCAGGAGGATTGCCACAAGTTTGACACAATACTTGGCTTTATGGTGAGTGTAAGACCAGCCTGAGTTACAGAGTGAGACCCTGTCACAAAAAAAGAAAAAAGAAAAGGAAGAAAGAAAACAATAATCAGTGAGAATCAAAATAACAATAAGAGTAGAGTTTATAAAAATTTTATTTCTAGTAGTATTGTATTAAATTTCATCACTAACTGCTATGTACCTGAAATCTCATTCAGTCATTCAGCCCTCCAAGTCTTTTAGAACACAAAAGTACCTTAAATATCTCTTCTTTCCAGAGAAGGAAATGGAGCATCAGAGAAGTTGTGTGTCATGTCTAAAGCCACTCAATAAATACTTTGATATCTTCCCCCTGGAAAGTCATATCAATTAGTGTGTTCTCTGGTGTGTGGGCTCTCTTAGACAAAGTCTAAAAGGAAAAAAGGGGGTATTTGATTAGAGGGTGCAAGCTCAAGTAGGGTAACTTGAGCTTTATTTCTACCTGAAATGTGGCCATCCATCCTGACCCTCATAGACCTGGTGGTGAGGATCAAGGGATTACAGCAATGTCTCCAGCAGTGGCCAGCAGCATCAGAGCACAGCAGGTCTCCCCACGGGCCCCTGCTGGCTCTGTGACTGTGAGGTCCACTATTCTAATGTGTAGGCTAAGCAGGTTCCTTGGTCTAAGAAAAGACTATAAGTCTTTGATCTCATTTTCATTTAACAATGTATTTTTATTTAGGCCCAATAGTGTTCCTTTATTAGCTCAGCTTTTTAGGTTGTATAGGTGAAATTAAAATAAAATGTGGGATTGTGACTGGAATATGCTTTTAAATTTTGTATTGTGTTTATTTGGAGATTCTGAATAAGCTGAATGCTTATGCCTTTTGCAGTTATCAATATTGTGGAGTTGTCACAGTAAATAAATGAACTAGTGTAGTGTTAACATCTATGATAGTCTATAGCAGTCACTCAAAGTGAGCTGAGAAAAATTATTCAGGGAGCTATTCCTTTAATGACCACACGTACCATTAAGTCAAAGCATTATTTTCTGATCGTACTTGCAAAAGTCTGTTACTCCTGTCAAAAAGAGGAAATATTTTTATATTTGTTGCAGAAGTAAAGGAACCATTTCAATTTCCTGGTCTTATCATTATGGCAGGATAAATACAGATTTTGAATAATATTGGTGAATGGAGGATTTTTAGACTTTATAAGCAATGCAAGAGAATCCTAGAAATCTGCACATGAAGGCCAGGTATTCCACTCCTGTTTACAGCATCAAAAAGTATGTTAAATGTATAAAAATACGCTTCTTTACTTCACAGTACGACACTGCTTCTGCTACGTTCAATTGGAAAACTAATATCCAATGCAATTATCCGTGATAAACTGAGGTTTAAAAGATTTGAAAACACCTTGGGAGCATATAAATCAGATAATCACAATCTTTTATGGCTGGAAAAGTTCAGCTGGTGTTGACAGGTTGTAAAGATAAAAGTGTACAGCACAGTCAAGAGCTAAATGTCTAGATTGGGTTGGGGATCAATGTTAATACTTATAGCGTCAAAGTGCTGAACTCCAAGTGATCTTTCATAATGTCCTGCTTTTCCACTTGACTTTCCAAAACAGAATAGTGCAGAACTTTATTTACTGGAAGACTTTTACTTGTCATTAGGCAAATATAACTATCTAACACACCGCGCAGATGTCATCGCTGTGTGCAATAAGAGTGCTTCACCTGCTGCATTTGAAAACATTTGTAGTTGAGTGACTGTTAATGGGTGATTATACATGACTCAGACTTTATAGTTTCTAGGTTCCTTTCTTGCTTCCTTTTCTTTTTCGTTTACTGTTTTTTTTTCCTTTGGTTTGTTTGTTTGTTTTTTAATTCAGAGAGTATTTGCCTCATGGCCTCAATCTAATCTCAGTAAGAGCATTTCAAAAGATGTTTCTTGTGCTTGAAAGGTTGCCTGCATGAGTTGATTCAGTGCTGTCCAGACACTAGCCCTGTGCCAGTGGCAAGGTCTGTGCATATTGAACTGTGTAATGGATTTGCTACATTTAGCTCCAATCATTGTGCTGATTGTGCCCCTAGGTGGTTCCTCCAACGTCTGTAACTCTGTTTGCTTGCTTCTGTTTCCAGGCGCTGAGGGCACAGTGTTTCCTAAGTCCATAGAAACACCTAACGTCAGGGCAGACCCCTTCAAGGAACTAAGGTAAGGTTCTGACTTTGGTTTGCATTTATTAGTGGCTATTACCTTCCTCTATACAGCTGGCCCATGATTCATTCTGAATAATAGTGATGGTGTTAGTCTGATGCACAAGCTGAGAGCACTTGGTGAATTATTGAAGATACGATAAAACAAAAAAGTCCTTCTCTTTTTCTGAGTACTTAAGAAAATTAAGGTACTGGGATAAGAGATCGCTAGCCTTGTAACTGTGATGTTTAGATTCATTCTTTGGCAATAGAAGTTTTTTTTTTTTTTTGGCTGTATTTTGTGATACTGTGAACCTACCCAGCTATAAATACTTGAACTAATCAGAAATGTGTGGTGACTAGCCAAAAGAAAAGAGCTATCTGAAAGAATCTGAAGTATTAAATGCAATACAGGGCTTTTTTTCTATGCAACAAGCTATCTGTTATTAAGTTTCATATGGTAGTATTCTGTAGATATTCTATGACAGGCATAGTGAAGCATACCTATAATCCCAGTGCTCTGGGAGGGTGAGATGGGAATTATAAACTACAGCCATACCTGGGCAATTTAACAAGACTATGTCTCTAAAAACAAACAAGTTATGTTCATACAAATAGGAATGTAACATCTAGCATGTAATTATAACCAGGAAGAATTCAGTGACTATTGGCGTTCTTCATTTTGTGCGATTCTTTTACTTAGAACCCATTATAAATCACCAAAAGGCCATTCATGGTGTGACATAACTGCTTTCTAGTAGACATCAACCCCAGGCAAATGTGCAAGTCTACACTTCCATTGTGCACCCTCAAGGTCGCTACTTTCCTGAAACCATAACACTATGTAGGAGCTTGATTTCCCCTGAAGAAACATGTTCTCCACAGTAGGAAAAGCAACTTCAGACTACAAAACCCACAGCATTGAGAAGCCTGTAGGTCTTTGAGGATATAGGGAAGTGAGTTGGGCCAAAGAAAGAGAATAACCATTACAAAATAAAACTGTTTTGGCTGCAAAATCTCAGAATGGGGCTTCCTTTTCCAGACTAAACAGAGCGCCATGAGGTTTTACATTTTGCTAGCCTAAATTGTTTTTAGCACAGGTTACTTCCTTTTTACATTTCTTAGTAGGAGTAAGTTTCTTACAAAAGTAGACAGTAATTAGTATTTTCATCCAAAAGAAAAATACTGCTTAAAGGAACTGAATTGTAAATACAATTTCCTTTGCTCTGGAACAAACTCTTCATTGCCTACAAGATTTGGGAAATATAATAGGGAAGATGTCTACAATTGAAAAAAAAATCTCAATCCAAGACAAACAAGAAAAACCTCTCAAAAAGTCCAATTTAAAGATGGCTAAGTGGTCTGAATAGTTAGTTTCAAAAGGGGCTACAGATATGTCCAATAAGTATGAAAAATGTTCAGTATCATTAAGTATCATGAAGACAGAGCAAACCACAAGGAGCGAGCTCTTACCCCCGTTAGAATAGCTGTAATCAAAATAAAAATATAACAATGATGCTAACAATGTAGAAAAGAATTTTCATACTCTATTGATATGAATATAATTAATAGAGTTCTCATAGAATGGGTTGTAGTCTACAGTTCAGTTTCTCAAAAAAACAACTAAAAGTAGAGCTTCTGCCTTAAGATCCAGCTGACCTACTCCTGGATGTGTATTTTTAAAAATTTATCACACCAAACAGATACTTGCAATCTAATGATGATTGCAGGACAATTTGTGATAGCCAAGATACAGGATTAATCATGGTATCCTTTGATGGATGAACGGATAAAGCAAATATGGTATGTATAGAATGTCACTCATTCCAGTCTCAGAAACTGAAAAAATAAAAGACTTTCTTTGGGGCTTCAGAAGTTGCAGCCTGGGAGACGTAAGTCTAGTGAGATATGAGGCAGTGTTCTGAGGAAAGCAAGAAAAGTGTGGGTTCATATGGGCTCTTGCATGTTGAGAAGGAAAAGGGCCTGCATGACCTATGGAAGATAAAGCCAAAGGTGTGTCAGAAGAGGGGAAAAGCCTGCCAAGCAGAAGCCCAGTAGCCTTTTGATATGTAGCCTGGGCTTCTGCACCTATGTAGTCATCCATTCATTCTAGATGCGTATAGTAGGGGTTGGAGGTGACCCAAATTCACACCCCGGGCAGCAGCTGGAGTCATGCAGAGCCCTATTTCTTAGGCACCTCCTGACTGCACTAGTAAGAGTTTTTCAAAGTTGCTTTTAGTATGAATGTCCTTTTACTTTCATAACAGTGGACTATTCATCACAAAAGAGAATGAAATTCTATTACGGTGGCAACTGAAGGACTTTGCATTGTGTAAAATAATTTAGACAAAGAAAGGTCAACACTATTCCTGCTCATATATCAAAGCTTAATGATTTAATAGAAGTAGGAGGTCTAAAATTCATCAGGAGAGATTTGAAAAGGTGAGGGCGGGGACATAGAGGGAGGTTGGATAACAGGTACCAAAAAATAATTCCATAGGAAGAATAAATTATAATGTTATACAACAATTTGAGTATTGTTCAGAGTAATTTGTTGCATGCTTGATATATGCTTAAATATTCTTAACACAAAAAAATTACAAATGTTTGCCCCAGATTTTCAAATCATGATTGAGTCAGAGATCACCAGTATTATAATTCAGCATATTCAGCCTTCTGGAATTTTCTCTTTCTTAAAATGGCACTTTCTAGGAAGTTCTTCAACTAAATGAGAAGATAGACATGTATCATTCAAAAGAAAGCCAACATAACTTTAGGAAAGCAGACTGTCAGTGCATGTTTCCTGTCGGTTATTTATTTTATGGTGCCGTGTCTTGCTCTGTGCTGTTGAGCGGTATACTGAGGAAAAGGATTATGAACTAGGCAGCTGAGTCTCCCAGCCTCTGATTAGAGCTTCATTAGACTTTCAGAGCCACATTAATGCCAGTTTGACTTCTAGAATTAGGAAGGCAGAATAGTTAAACTGAGGTCTCTGGACTGGTCTTGAGGTAGAAGAAAGGCAGCTGTTTGGATGAAGCAGAAGTCTGCTTCTCAGTGCTCAGACAGTGGAGGACAAAGTGCTGAGTGTCAGATGGTGCAGCCAGTCCTCTGCATGTCTGTTAGCTAATGGCATGCTCAATTAAAAAGCCATCTCACTTCTGGGCTCCAAAGTTAATCTCTTTCTATTATTTCACTTGTGTTCTAAAATAATCTTAAACCAGAGTTGCAAGTGTTATGCAATCTTTCTCATACATCCCTTACTCAATCATCTCTCATTCAGTAAGTTTTATAGTACTGTAATATCATACTCAATATTAAGAGTTTTAAAGGAATGCAAGCACATGAAGATCTAATAAATTAAGAATGTATGAATATAAGTTTAATAGAAGTGAAATTTGTTGAGATGTGAATTAAAGGCTCTTTAAAGCACTCAGTACATGTCTTAGTTACGTTCTCCTCACCAAGCCATGGTACCTGACACCTGCAAATTAAAGGAGGAAAGGATGTTTTTGGTTCACATTTTATGTAGAGGCTTTAGTCCATAGTTGGCCAGCTGCAAGATATGGCAGATAGGTATTGCAGAGGAAAAAGAGCTCATGGCATGGCAGTGGAAAGCATAAAGAAGGACAAAAGGAGAAAGGAATGTGATAGACCCTTCTAGTCTTTGCTAGATGTTTGTAAATCCAAAGTTGAGCTCAAATTCACAAAAAAAAGCAGTTGCTTCTTTCCAGAAAAGTCATGAGGTCACAAAGGTCTATGCCATACAACTTTCTCAGTCAGTGTTTATTGACTTTACCCTGCTGAGTAATTCTGAAATAATGACATGACGTTCTAGATTCAAAGCTGTACTTAAGAATGTACTGAAACAGGATATCTGTCCCTTGAAATAGGAAAAATCAAGTCTGAATAGGAATTGGATTTTAATAAATTCATGATTATAGAATGTGAATATATTACACATTCACTTGGTCCTTTTTTTTTTCTCCTGGAGTTTATATAAAGATAAGGGGAAAAAAATCACTGATCTCAGGCTGTTCATGATCTGAAGCAAGAAATAGGCCACTCTGTTTTGCATATGTTTTTTCTAGGAGAACAGAGGCTGCTTTTGACTGCCTACCTTGCTTTAAGGATTCTTTTAACTGTGAAGTTCCCTTGTAGGATTCTGATCCTACAAGAACATGAAATAGACTGTAAAACCTTATTTCACAGCCACATGCTATGGCAAATGTAAAAAAGGGGAGAAGCTTGTACTAAGTACTACATTCGTGTAGCCAAGTGTGTTCCTCTAAATATTCCCCTCAAGGTTTGGAATGAACCATAACAAAGCAAGAAGCCAAAAGGTCTTGATGGAGGAATTCTTCACATCTTATTCAACTATTAGGCTGATGTATTCTTGCTTTATTTATAATAACAAGAATTGTAATCTGATTTTCCAGCTCATTGAAGATCAGGGACTTTGCTCTAAGTATATTCTAGATATATATAGAAGAGTCATGTACTAAATACTTGGAACACAGACATCAGTATTTATTCAAATAGTTTTTCCTTAAGACGGCTATAATGAAATATAACTCCCAAATACAAAACAGTGTGGTGATTCCTAAGCTAGAGATGTGAACCAAGTCAGAGGAAACACAGAGAATGGCAAAGTCTACCTAGGGGTGTTAGGTAAGGTTTCCTTCATGTCTGTTGAAAGAAAAGATAAAGGAAAAATTCAGTAAACAGATTTTAGTATTCAAACAGAATGGATCTCTAAGGTCACTTAGTATTGAGGCTTAGTTCTCTCACTGCTGACCTTATATCTGGTAATCTAAACAACTAACGTGAAGATAGCACCATGCAATACAGCAATCATTGCTGAATTCCTGTTACGTTGTTAAGTGAAATCTTGCATCATTTCTAATGCTGTTTTTTTAATCACTATTTTGTATCTTGTAAAATACCCAAGTCAAGAAAGCAAAAATTTATTCAGCTCACAGAGTGTAGAAGTTTCAGTTTATAGTTAGCTGGCTCCAAGGC